CCAGATGTAACCGGTGTCCAACTGTGATGCAGCCGAGTGTCAACCTCAACAATCTCCAAGTCTCCAATCAGGTAAGTACCACAGTCTCGTATCACCGAAATCCAACTTTGATCTCTGTCCAACTGGATAGTCTCCAATCTGAAGAAGAAGAAGAAGAAGAAGAAGAAGAAGAAGGAGGAGGAAGAGGAGAGAGAGAGAGAGAGAGGGGACTGGCGAGGGAGAGGAGGAGAGACCCTCCAAGCTCCCGGTACCTCAGGCGACAATGGCCGCCGTGCTGGCTCAGTCGCCCTGCTGCTGCTCCACTCGCTGCTGCGCTATGCTGCGCTCCTGCTTCAGCCCCTGCGCTAAGTTTAGCGCATCAAAACAGTGCACTAGCACTGACCATGCCGTGCCGGTACAGTTCCGGTAGGCCGATCCCTCAACTGAGGCGGATACCGGTACTTATACCGGTGGGCAATGGTCTGGCCTCAATGCTGCGAGGCCAGGCCAGACCCTGGACCGTCCAGATGGACGGTTCAGCCTCAATCGGTGGGCGGCAGCTTCAAGAGCGCCGCCAGGCCCAAACGAAGTGTCGTTTGGGCCTACCCGATGGGATTAGTCCAAAATCAGGCCTTTGGGGCCTGTAACCCCAAAGGTCGCGCCTTTAGGCCCTGGTGTGTTCCTCCGGCCCTAAGTCGGGTCCGGTAGGACCCGTGTGAGTCGAAGATGTAACACATATGATGCTAAGGTCTGGAAGTCAACGCAGGCCCAGATAGTTGAGGAACGGACAGAGATAGACTGCCGCTTGGCTGAGAAGAAAAAAGAAAAAGAGGAGAAGAAAAGAAAGGAGGAGGAGGAAGTGAGGAAAAAGCTGCTAGAAGAGAAAGAAAAGATGGAGAAGGAAATGAAGGAAAAGGAGAGAAAAATGTTGGAGGAATTGAAAGAAGAAGTAGTAGTTGAGGGAGACAGGCTGGACAGGAGGAGAACCCAGCTACAAGAAGAAAAGGCTGAGAGCAGCCAGGCAGGGGCAATCCGTATACGACAGCTGGAGGCGCTGAATTGGATTGAGCAGTTCGGGTACAGGACATAGTTTCTAGAACCGACGGAGGAGGAGAAAAATGCCTTTATAATCAAGTTGGCATCTGCAGCAGACGAGATGGAGAAGAATCTACTGCTGGAGGAGAAGAAGGCAAAATTGAAACAATAAGATGGTGGTGGCAAAACGACAGTAGTATAATGAAAAGAAAGGGATGAAAGAGGAGGGGGAGAGGTCGCCGAAGTTGCTGCAAGAGCAAAAAGGAAAACAGGCTGCCACAGATGAGAGACTCTCCTTTCTAACTAACACTCTCCTCCATACTAATGATGAACTAGCTGCACTCAACCGGACTGTGAATAAGATGGAATTGCACCAAGGAGCATTTGAAGGCATCTGGAATAATTTCTTGCGCAGTGCCTCCGAACAGATTGATCACCGTATATATGAGTATGTTGATCAACTAGATACAACCCTTGTCAAAAAGTTGTTCGATCCTGCCGTATTAAGAAAGTTGAAGATTGGTGACAGGGGAGGAGATGGAGGCGATGATGGTGATGATGGGGACAAGAAAGGAAAGGGTGTCAAGAAAGAGAAGGATGGAGAAGCGGAGGAGTCCAGGCAAAAGATGAAGGTAAAGTTGCCTTGGACCAATGCGGGGAAGAAAGAAGAAAGCATTTTCCACTGGGAGGCAGTTGAGGACACATACCTGTACGCACTAAAGAGTCCGTATTGGGACCGTGTGCTAATGGCAAGTTCATGCATGGCACGAGACACAATGAGCTTTGCTATCTCCTTTATGAAAGAGTTGGCTGCACGACCATGGTTCAGTATTCTCAACAAACACCGAGTGAGGACTTCTTCAAAGCTCTTAGAAAAGGTTCGAAGATAAGAACTAGCCAGTAGGACTGAGTCTTTGATCCTTAACATTGGTGATCGTAAATGGAAGAGTGTGTCAGCCCTCAAGGCCACAATGAATGAACTACTGCAATGCCCGGACCACGGATTCACACCGGCACAAATCCTAAATAACTTTGCTAGAGCACTCGCAGACCCCCTAAAAACACAACTATATCCCCGCACTAAGGAAGAAGGAAGGCCATACGAGAAATTTAGTAAGATCGTTGGAGATCACACTGGCTTCCTGCAAGAGGCACAATATTGCCATTACTGGAAAGTCCTAAAGGCTGGCAAGAAATGGAAAGACCGAACAATTTCGGGAAATGTAGCAGGCAAAGATACTGGTCACCTTCAAAGAAGGAAGGGTAGAATCACTTACCTATGACCAGATAGACTATTGGTTAGAAAAGACAGCAATGGTCACTTAGCCCAGGGGCATCCCACGGGGGAGGCCGACAAGGAGGACGAGGCCGTGGTAGACGAAGAGGAGGCCGCGATCGTGGTGGAGGAAGACGACCCGCCGCCCAGAGGGGTAGTGGCGAAGGTAGCTACTATGTGGGAGGTAGGGGTAATGGTCCCTTGCAAGTAGATAGAGGTCCCAACTCCACAAGGGCAGAGGTAGAGGTCACTATGGGCGGCCCTTGCAATGTTTCAAATGTGGAGACCCCGACCACATTGTTTCCTGCTGTCCTGAATATAGGTACCCCAAAGGGAACAACCAGTAGAGGTTTTAGTTGCTTCTACAGGAACTATGGATGCAAGCAGACTGTCATCCAGAGGTCCCAATGGCAGAGACTGAGACGAGAAATGACCCCCACCTAGTTAACTGTCCAGAGGTTGTTTGTGTCAGAACCTCTCTAGAAGGTTCCCCTGCAAGCATAGGTGATGAACTGATCACTCGCCGTCGTGCTTGGGCCGAAATGAAGAAAAAGAAAGGGCAGTTAATAATTGCCGATGTAGAGGTCACAGGAGTAAGGGTTGGCGCACTAGCAAACAGTAGGTCAACACACAACTATATCAGTAAGAAAGGGCGGTTAGGGCTTAAGGTTCAGAAGTTAGAACAGCCCACCGTAAGTAAACTAGCAAATAACAGAGAAATGGTGGTTGATAGCTATGTCGAAGGGGTTAGGGCATACTTCCGGTTGGAGGTAGGGGGAAAGGTGGAACGTGTTTTGCACTCCCTGACACTGGAGGACAATCTCCCTTTTGACATGATTCTAGGAACTGACTGGGATGAGGCCACCGATGCAGATGTGAAACTGGGTGAGCACGAGTGTTGTTTGCCCAGTCCTACATGTGGAAAAAGAAAATTCGACTTCACCATGCATCTAGCGTAGAGAATAGCCTATCCCTTTGCTGCATGAGTGCCCCTGCGTTCGTCCGACATGTGGTCAAGAACGACCTCGCCGACCAAGTGTTTGTTGCATATGTGCGCCAGGT